ACAGGTTAAAGTTCGGTCGACTTGCATCATAGCTTATCAATTTATTGAGTGCTAGCATTCAGCATTACCAATACCCATTGTCAGCCTACGTCCATTTCTTGATGACGGAAATAGGCCTATCCTACGAATGGTAGCATGCATCTTAGAGCGGAATAATAAAACAAAAAAAACTAAAAGCAAGACCACCATTAAAACCGACATAGGCCGTCATTGTAATCAAACTTTCTCACTTTACACTCCGAGAACCAACTACAGCCACGCTGAACGTTTCCCAACTATCAGTCGAATCTTGCCCCAAATCATAAACAGATCGGAATATGTTCCTTTCACTGCAACCCGAGAGGGATCCATAAGCCGTATGGTAGTACAAATCCTCTTCGCGCCTGTCTCCCCGTGGACACTAAACGGACTGTGACGCGAGTGAAGAGACGGTGGAGGCATACCTACACCTGTGCTGCCGTCAGTACGGGAGGGGAAGGAAGAAGGCGGGGACGGGATTGCACCTGCCTAAATGAGAGCAGGTCCCGCCCTCGGAGGCAGGGGTAAGGAGATTATTTTATATAAGTCGTAGGATTCTGACAGATCGTCGGACACACGTGGCTTTCCACACCGTATGCCAGGAGACATCATTTAGTCCTCACTCATCTAAACCAGTGTTTCATCCTTTTGAGAAGCTATGCAAAACAGAGATCCAACCAGCGCACCGCCGGTGGCGACACACGTGAACCTCCTGCTTCGGAGACGGCTCAACACACGGTACAAGACAGCTCAAAGCCGACCGCTGGCGCTGGCGAGAGAAAGACCGGTGCATATACTCCGTAGGAATCCAAAGAGGGAGATGTACCAGCGGGATAATGTTTCTGTGAAAGGATGAGCGGTAGGGACAGCGCGATTGCCGTGAAATCCCGTCAGAGAGGCGCAGACGGTGGCTCAGGGAGCCGATCGGCTAGGAAAGGGGAGGGACGGACAAGGTCGTCCGCGTGCCCGTCTAGGGCGACCGTACCGAACCGGCCCCGCCCCGGGCTGACCGGCGCCGCGTACTTTCACGGGCCGCCGCTGCGGAGACGACCACCTCCCCTCCCCTCCGGTGGAGGGTGGGGGGGGGGGGGGGGGAGAGGGGGGGGGCGTGCCGAGGCCACGCCCAGGGGCCATGAATTCCCGGGAACAGAGCTGGCTGGAGCTGACCGAGCCGGATCGACCAGGGCACCGAGACGTGCACCATGCATCTAGGGGCATATAATCTATATTGCTGACTGGATGAATCAAGGAAAATCCTTTGGAAAACCTAAAAGGCATTTTCAATTTCCATGATTACTTATGGAATCTTAAAATGTTTTGACATGGTTTATTGGCACTACAAAACAGAAACCTGAACCAAAATTTCATTTAAAATGGGAAATTCACCTTGATAATCCTCTGGTGGAAAAACACTGAAGCAAATTATTGTGAGAAGGGAGTATGTACAAATAACCTAATCCCAGTATCATAAAAAGTGACATTTTTATGGCTTAAATGGGAACAGTGCCTAGGCATTTAACTTTCACGCAAATGAAGGGACAGTTAAGCTGAAATAACTTTCAGGCATAATTGGTTTATTACATAGTAGGTAAATTAATTAACATTATCTATGCATGAGCCTTAATGAATGATGGGGGGGGGAACCGAAAATAAAACAAATTCAGTAAATAATCTGCAAAGAATCTGCAAAGATGGGCACATTAATTAATGATGGTTCTAATGTGGAAGCATGTAATTTCTTCACTCTGGTGCTGCTTGCAAAAAATGTAATTCCAATTTCCAAAGTACACTTTTCCTAGGATGTAAGAAATTAAAACTGCCACTTTCTTTTTGATTATCAGAGGCTCTAAGGACAGCTTACTCAGAAAAGGTCACATGGCCAAAAGGTCATGTTTGGCCAATACATTTGTGGCACATACCTACAGCATTGCCCAAAATTCTTCTATTTGACTTCATAAATCATAGGTTTCAATCAAAGAAGTGTCGCACAATGCTGAACCTTTGTCTAAGAGTGATACCTATTATACCTAAATGAGTTCAGCTCTTGAACTGAAGGCACCACATATTTTTTCCACAGAAGAAAATAAATTAAGTAGAAACACTAATTGTTGCTTAGTTAGGTAAGGATAACCGATAACCGAAAGGAAGTAGTCTGAAGGCCTTGGTCTGAAGTCACCGTTACAGTTAGTGTGCAGAATGCAAATTAATCAAAGTAGTAGAAAATATGACTTAGCACTCACCACACATGATGACAGGCGTCGATGCTGCGCGAAATGAGGGCGGATATCCTCACGGAGCCCGGGTTGCGACTGCTGGCTTCAGCGTGAGACCGGATTCACGAAACCTCGGTATCATGTCTCATGATCTATTATTGCTCCCTGGTTTCCGACCTCAAAGCATTCCTTTTGCTGTTTTATATGACGTCATTTTATCAGAAGGGAATGGCATGGTTTTACCAAAGTGTCTTTCCTATTTCAGGACTTTCAACCAGTTTTTCCTCAGTTGACTTGAAAAGCAAAAGATGACCTTTCAAATGACGTTTTATGCATCAAAAATAATATTTTTTCGGAAACTTGGTCAACTATCAATGCTTCTATGTGAATGACGTCATTGGCTTTCGTTCCAATTACCGGAACCAAAAAGTATAAACATTTTTGACGCAGGTGCGCAGTATTTGTCTTAGGTTTTCTGATATTGCTACCATATTTTATCAATTTAGAAAATCCTTTCTCTATTTAAGTTCATTTTTGTTTAAATCTCCCTAATTTTGAATATGTCGTAATGAATGTAATTTTTAGATGCAATACTGGATGCAGAAATATTTCAAAACAAATTTTTATTTCAAAAATAGTATTTGGGATTTCTGATTGAATTTCGGTAAAGTAGAGTTTTTCTCCACTGCTCCATACTGCGTTTACGAAAACGGCAAATCCAGCGCAGAGTCGCTGTGAGATTTTGCTGGATTTTGCTGTGAAAATTATGTAAAAATTGGTATATACACTGCCATGGTTGTACTGTCATGTTGGTACATTTCGATCATTTCGATAGTATAGGCTGCAACACAATGTATGAATTTATTTGAGTTTATTGCCCAAGTTTGTTGAAGCTATCAGCCAATTTTGGTAAGTTTTCCCCTGTTTTCTGTGAGCAGTTGTGACTTTTTTTACTAGCCTTTCCACAGTGCATGGCACTTTCAACATGCTTTACATTTCTTCATCTTATTGACTAACATGACTAACAGGTCCAGACTTCAGGCTTACTGAGGCTGACTCAGAGTCTCGGCTCATTAAAATGTTTCGGGCCCATCAGCCTGAGCCTATGATCGGCTGCTGATGTGGCCTACATAAACAAATTGGTAAAATGCTAGGTGTAAGAATGGTGGATGGTGAAAACAGGTGCCTGGGGTGTTTTGATCAAGATTCTTGAGTTGGGGGCTTGGGTCTTGTGGCTACGCTCCCTAACCCAACAACAACATCAAAGATTCTTAAACTTTTCTTTTGCAGATCATGTGACCAAAATTTTGACTAGTGATTTTGAAGGCATAGGGAGTCGGAGAAGATATCAGGCTGCAAGTAACTGCCCTACAAAAAAAGCAATCCAATCACCCAAGCGGTTCCTGAGATGTAGGTCTCTCAAAAGTATTACTTCAGCAGAACAACTTTAATGCCATTGAGTTTTCACTTGGCACTGGCCACTGCCACCACAATATTCTCCTACGTGACCTAAGAGTTGTCAATTATGGAGCAAAAGGGATGGGCTATCCAACAGAAAAGATCACAGGTTAATCAGCCCCGTGTTTGGAGATGGAATCTTCTCAAAACTCAAACGTGTTACGCGCTGAGCTGGGCCGTACTACTGAGATTTTCTGTTATATTGAGAAGACTTAGCTTGGCTGGCTAGTCGTTAGTAACCATGTGACTCTCAAGGACGCTTAGATTGCCATTTTTAAGGCTGAAACAGACTCTTTCTACGTTAAGGAAATCGCACGCGAGAGCCTATTCAAATATATTATAATTCTTCTCGCATCAATCGCTTGCGGGAGGTGCGTGCGATTGATGCGAGCGTGCTTCCATGTATTTGAATAGGCTCTCGCATGCGATTTCCTGACTGCGGAAACAGTCTGTTTCAGGCATTAGTCTTTTTCAACCTGCATGTATTCTATAGTTTTATTATAGGCAGTATTGGGAGCTTTTGGATTTGTGTGTGCAAGGTCACATGGTAGTTGGTACAGGAGAATTATATTTTTAAAACACTTATATAAACCAATATTTGACAGGTAGATATTTGTTGTAAAGGCCGTAGGTAGGTAAGCACTTGGCAACTTAACATACAATTTTTACAGGCGGAGTGGTGCGGGCCGCAGTACAATAGCGTACCGCAGGCGACGCTGATGCAGAACCTTCTGGTCGAGTTACTAACCAGTTTCCCTTTCGCGCCGCTGGCACCCGAGCCATGGGTGTTATTGGCGGCCAGCAGGGCGCGGCAGGCCCCAGAGCGCCCGCTCGCCTCACTAGCGGCTAGTGCGCTTTAATGAGCCGGACTCAGACTGTAAAACGTGGCAGTGTCAATCAAACAGTGTGCACTGTGGAGTGCGCACTGTTTCACCCAGTTCATTAAACAGGATAGGTGGCAACTGGCAAGAGTATGCCACACTGCCGAGTGGCCTAGACCCAGGGGCCAGGAAGGTAGATGGTTAGAGAAAAAGATGGTTTTTCCGGCGCTTTTAGCCTAACATTGTAATATCCTATCACCACCATGCTGCTGCAGCAAGAGGAGGACCGCCAGTCGCCACCATGTCGGACAGCGACTCGGACAGCGGAGGAGAGGCCGGCGGTGGGGGCGGCATGGACCTGACGGCCGTGCTGTTCGGCAACATAGACAGCTCTGGCCAGCTGGAGACTGACGTGCTGGACGCAGAGGCGCGAGCCCAGCTGCGCGGACTCAGCAAACTCGGTCTGGGCCAGCTGCTGCGAGATGTCGGAGACGAAGCCTCCACCGGCAACACTGGAAAAGGTGAGAAATGTGTTCATTGTTGCTATCTTCCTGTTGCTACCTTTCATTGTTGCTGCCTACCATAGCTTCTGCTGTTTCTGTCTATTGATTTAGAAAAGAAATGAGAAACTATTTGCAAATTCAAATGAAGCATCCATTCAGCTGCATCATTGTTACTAGAAGTGTAAGCAAGAAACAAGCAGTGCCCAGTATGATTTAATTGTCTGCATCTCAGCGATCACAATCAACTTCTAATTTACCCCGGAGTTATGTACCCCCTACCTTCTTCGTCCAGTGACCAGCCATCACTCCCCCTCTGCTGCCTCAGGAGCTGCCGAGTCCGGTGACGCCCAGGAGGAGGATGACGCCCCGGCGCCGGTGCCGTCGGCCACGGCAGTCGACTACTGGGACATCTCCGAGATGGCGGAGGAGGACCTCCGCTGGAACACCGAACCCGGCGGCGACGACGGTGGGTGCAACGGGGACGGGGTGGGGGTACACCCGGGGGACCTCCGGTGGAACACCGAACCCGGCGGCGACGACGGTGGGTGCACCTGGGGACACCCGGTGGAACATGGAACCCGGCGGGGACGACGGTGGGTGCAAGGGGGGAGCGGGGTGCATTGAGACCTAATCTTAACCCACGCTGGATGGGTCGCCAGAACGTTGGTAGTCAAGATGGTTATTTCAAAAGGCGCATGAAGAGAATACTGCAGGGTGTGAAGTGTTTCCTCTATGCCATCCCGCTAGAAGAGTAACTAAAATAGGTCGGTATCGATGGTTCTTTCCGTCATAACATCACGTAATATCGTGAGTGAAAGGCTGGACAGCACCGCAAATGTTTCCGCTGATCCGAGCCGATGTGAATGGTTGTGGTCATTTTTATGACGTTGACCTTCAGTAGCGACAAAATATGCATAGCTCGTCACATTAGCGGCTTCATTTTCCAATAAACTCTCCGGTGTTGGAAAGTGTCGCTCCGACCGTCAATGTTGCGGTAGCGTTGCATGTTTTAGCCTGGAACAGTAATTATCGTGGCCGACCTTTTTTGAGCCTTCAGAGTTTGAGTGAGACAATTTGTTTATTCCGATCTTGAGCCTTCTTCCTTTTTCCATTTTTCTTCTTTAGGGGCCACCTTTGTAATTAGAAATGGAATTTGTGTTGTAGTCACTGAAATTATGCGATATGCGTATCATTATTTCCTCTAGAAAAATGATAATTCACATGGAAAAGATCATACCATGCGCTAAATAATTTGCGCTGCCAACATCCAACTCTATCGGCTGTTTTTCTATTTCGAGCTATGTGCTGAAAATCCAAGGATGGGCGACAGGCAGGTCCATATTAAGATATCTATCAAATTACTACTCTGTGTAAAACCTCGACCGCTGGGTTTTGCCATCCCCTAGGATTGTCCGACAGCGCAGGGTCTCTGAGGCTGGTCTGACCCACGCCGCTGTGTTTGTACATATAGTAAGTGTGTTTGTTGGTTGTTTGCGGACCCTGGCTTTAGTGTTTTTGTTTAATGAAGGCGGTGATGTCTCAGCCCTAATCAATCACAATCAACACTCGACTGTCCATTACTAGAGCGTGAAGAATCATTTTAACGTTTTAATTGATCATCTCCCACCCCCTCTGCTGAAAAGCCCACAACCCCTCCCCTCCCCCTCCCCACACACGCAATGGATGAATGGTCACAGGGGTACACAAGGTCACTGCACCTGTCTCCAGTCAACAGGTGCGACTGGCTATCACTGAGCGCACACACACGCAGTCCTCTCGGTTATCTCAGATCCGCTGATAATGTCGAGTCGATCGATGGGCCATTGGTGTTTACCGTCGGCACAGGACTGTGATCTCCCGGCCGGGAAACCCACGAGACGTTTGTCGGGTCTCGGGCGGGGGGGGGGGGAGAGAGAAGGAGCGAAGATGATGAAACAGTAGATGACGAGATTTGAGCTAGCTACTGCGGAAAACAACACTTTGATTATTTTTTTAATTTTCCGACCTCTTCTTTTTATTGCGGTGGTTGTCTTTGGCGAAATTTAGCCATCGGATTGAAGATGTGAAAATATCGTCCACTTTACTACCTGTATAATTAGCAGTCACTAAATTTATAATTGCAACTCGAGGCATGCCTTTCAGACAAAATAGCTTCCGGTGTCGTCGGTTTTCCTTCGACATCGCCCGGTCAGTTGGGGTCGTTGACCTCGGTTGCGATGACCTTGACCCCGGCCGTGACCTTTGCTGCCGGTGGGCCGCGGTCGCTGACCGGTAGACGGGGTCAGTCGAGTTTGTGGCCGGTGGGTGGGGCGGAGCAGTGTCTCGCACGCTTGTTTGAATCGTTCCCTAGGTGGGTTTGCTGCAAGTGGCTGGAAATGGTTGACTTTGGGGGTACCCATCAATCGTTCATCCATTCACTCAGTCATTTCAGTCATTTCTTTGAAATTTATTTTCGGGACGCATCGGCGCCATTGGTTGGCTGTGGTCGTATTGTAATCGTCAGTGCAATCTTTATGCGATCAGTTCGCTGTGTATATTCGTTCTATTGGCTTTGTTGATGGCTGGCTTAGATCACGAGGTCGATATATTCGCGTTCAGTCGCGCTGTGCCACGAAACATGGCTACGTGTTTTAACCTATCACGGCGCACGCTACCATGCTAGATGTGAAACTATCTTCTCTCCTCTGCAGACTACGACGCCGATGATGATGACGGTGACGAGGCGCGGGACGCCCGCCTGATGCCGCCCCCGCCGGCTGTGGGCGGGGGCGGGGGCGGCTCAACCCCGGCGCCGCCCCCGCCGCCCGCGCCGCCGCGCAAGAAGCAGCTCAACACGCCTCTGGGCGCCATGTTACCGGAGAAGTACGCCAGTGTGGAGATCACCGACCTGTTCCCCTTCAGAGAGGATAAGGTGGGTGGCGACGGGGTCGGGTCGAGGAATGAAAGAGATGTCGAAGGGACGGTTGGCGATCGGGCTGGACCATTTGCGGGTGGCGGAGCTCTTAGGCTCATGTATCGTTTTATGCAGAGTTTCTTTTTCTTGTAACCAAACATCGAATGGTAGAAGTTTATTAATTGATTATTTTTTACCTGCATGATATCGTATCGTGCTTCTCGACAGTGCCAGAACTGTTTTCTGAGTTGATTTTACCGTCCGTATAGAATGCAACCTGTTGTGTCACCACCAGCCATTTTACGTCCCCGTCGCGTCTCCTCCCCTCTCTGACCTTCCCCTCCCGCTCAGGTGTTGCGGTTCTCGCGGCTGTTCGGGCCCAGTCGCCAGGCCAGCCTGCCTCTCCCCTGGCGGAACGCCCGCAAAAAGAAACGGAAGAAGCGCCGCGACGATGACGACTCGGACGTGAAGCCCAAGGAGCTGACGCTGAGCTTCGGCCCGCCGCTGCCGCCCGAGCAAGTGGAATCGGATGACGAGGTCAGAGACTGGATTGGGATGGGAGGGTGGTGGGGAGAGGCGCGGCCAAATATGCATTTGACGCCTATTGTTTTCATATATTTATGCCATTCCTGTGTGTTGGCTGTGAGAGTTTGATCTTTGATTCCTGGTGTGCCACTTTTTACGGTCTGCTTTTTGCGATGCATTACATAGTTTGAGCGAAAATGAGCAACAATGCGCACAAAAAAGTTCGTGAATGTTAGGTCGCTGGCAAAACGAGTGTACTTTCTGCTGGAATATAGGAGGGATTCGAACGTTTTTCAAAGATATAACTTATCCATGCTTACCCTTAATCGATCACCTATCAGGTTCTACATTGCCATGAAGTTCCATAAGACTCATCCGGCCCTTTCCCTTCTCCCTCTCTCCCACAGGAGAAACTCCTCCGCCCTGAAGAAGCCCCGGCTCAGGCGCGTCCTGCCACGGAAGAGAAGCCGGCCGGCAGCAGCTCCCCCAAGTCCACCGACTGGCGGTACGGGCCCTCGCAGCTGTGGTACGACATGCTGGACTGGCCGGCCAATGGCGAGACGTGCAACTACGGCTTCAAGGAGGGAGGCGACAAGAATGGCGAGAACAAGACGGAGGTGAGTGAGGGAGAGGAGAAGGAGTGATGGGTAGGTGTCCAGTGCCTGTGGATGTGCCGTCCTAGTTGAGAAATACTGCATGGGATGTCTCGTAATACCCGTCAGGGAATGGCGGGCGCGCTGCCGTCCTAGAAATTAACGTGCAGTGTGACACTGTCACTTTCTCACAGAGTGACAGGGTTCACTGGCGAGGGTCGATACCGTTGTCTCACTAGAGGTGCAACCCCTTTCAGCGTTTGTTAATGTTAGCTTCGGTAACGTGTTATTTCTAACTGCGTGGTAGCTTTACGGCAGATGTGCTTAATTGGTTTTGTCGGCTTGGATCAACACGATAACAGCGAACGGTAAACTTGAATAAATCACCGCCTCCAATAATTTCTTTTGGTAGACAAAACTAACGAGCATTCATGCCGTGTAGCCGCACACGACTTAGCTAGCTGACGTCAATTGTTGAGTCTGCAACCTGCGTTAACCCCCGCTGCTTTGTACGGGGTGCATCGTGTTTTTGACCTACCTGTGTAGCTAAACCGCCCGAGCCTCCCCGTCACGGGGGCACCCACCTCCGCGGGTGGGGATAGGGGGTGTCACGTTTGCATGTTTGTCGTAGGTATGTCGTGTCGGGATGCCCGCCTGGCTTACGGCGTTCGGCTGACGTATACCGCCGCCACCGCATCCGCCAGGAGTGGAAACGATTAAACGGGCAACGCATGTGAAATTTAAATCAACAATCTTGAAAACAAGCCTCGGTCCACTATATTGTAACATGATTTGAAACGTAACCATTTAATTGAGAAGCTTTATTTGGCCGGTCAAATGCGCCATGAATGCCCATGTTTTATCGTTTCTCACCTGATATCCGTCTGGCTACCCGAAGCACCCGGCTCGAACCGGTATCTACCAGATCGATGCCGTTCGAGCCGGTGTGCTCCGCCGCGAGCTCGTGCCGTGCTGCCTGCCGCTACCGCTGCGCGCCGCGCCGGTCTCTGTTGCAGAGGGAGGAGGACGAGGCAGAGTCGGAGGGGGAGGACGAGGCCGACGGGGACCGGCCGGCCGGATCGCTGCGCTCCACCGTCAGTTCTCAGAGGGCTCGGGGCCGCAGCTCGGGGCTCCAGTCTGGGCTCTGCTGCAACTGCTGAATGATCAGCGGCACATGCAATCTGTCGTTATCAGCTTCAG